AAACGAAAAATATTTTGGACATGAGATTATTAGTTACATGTATCGAAGTGAGAAAAAAAACATGTCAACTTCTTAAGCAGCTTGTAAATTTATGTTGAGCAATAAGATTACGAAGACATAAGCTTTCGTTGATTACATGACTAACTAATTGCTTAAAATCAATACAACAATAAAAATACTTGAGATACTTTTTTATTTACGAACAATATGTTTCTTTTAACCTACTCTCTAAAAATAAATGAGTGAAAATCACTGAAAAACAGTGTATATTCACTTATTTACAGTTATAAAACTATCATTGTTTGAATTAGTGCTATTATTATCACTGCAAGCAATAAATATTCACTGATTTATTTTTAGAGAGTAACAACTGACAGTGTTGGAAGTTAGTTTCAAATTTTTCCATGATCCAAAGCAAATTATGTATTTTTGAATCCTTTTTTTGTCAGTTGAAATTGACTATTTTTTGTAAACAATTACAATAGTTTTTCAACTATTTTTATTCTGATATTTTTCATTTCCAAACTTCGATAAAGACTTCTAAAGAGCGTAATAAACTGATAAGCAGCGTCGAGTTTATAACAAAATCCATAAGTAATTGGTCAAGTAGTTGTAATAAGTGAACAGTCACATAGATAAAAATAGTTTTATTTCTTTTTCTGATTGTATAATGGACAAAACTGTGTAAAGAAAGATTTGAATCAATAGTCGAGGTATTTTATGTAAGTAAATCAATTTCTATCATACTTGATTACTATAATCAAGCAAAGAATCATGTCATGTCACTAATATTCAATAACTACAGACTCAAGAGTATATTTCATTGATTTAAATCATATATTACTTGATTTACTCAATTATTTTCTCATCAATATTATCACTCTATCAAAATACCAACTTGAATGAAATAAAAACCCAAAAAGATATCTCTGAAAAATAAAATTCTAACTCAACCTAGAATAAATAATGTCGCAATATTTTTTTTATTACTAAAAATTTAAATTTTTAAATTCCTCCAATATATTTACATACATTAAAAAATATGTCATATACAATTCAAACGTTTATTTATTTTCATAGACATTAAAAAAAATGTATAATTTCAAGTATGTACATCAAAAAGAATTTCTGAATTTCATTTCCAACAAACTACCGCAATTTAATTTTTTTCTTAGCTCAGATCGTCGACTACCCACATCACTTAAACCCTGTATGTTTGGGTATTTGATTGAGGATTTTTTTTCTTCTCATAAGGTAATAGGAGAGAACGAAATAGGCAACAGAGGAGTCTCCTGAAGTGTTACGACGACGAGGACGCTAACTTAATTTGTATGCGGGTACGCGACTCTGCCAGATGCGCGCTTAAGGCCAGACAGCCTTGCCAGCGCCTCTCATACATGTACGTGGAAGATATCTTTAAGCGGTGCTTAATCGCATTCCGGTGGGCCGTTGTCCACCACCGAGTTTGTTGCAAGAAGATGCTCTGAACTATGAGTGTCTGGTAATATTATTAAGATTAGCACACAATTACATGGTATTACACTAACGAAAGTGAGATAAGTTTAATTAAGTATAATGTAATAATAATTTTATGTAATTAATTGTAATGCTGTATGTTAACTTAACAATATATCGTTAAATGTGAAAGTAATGCAATGATGCATACATAATTAAAATTATCTTAATTACCTTAGATACTTAAGTATTCATTAGAAAATTTTCTCCAATTGCTTTCAAATTATTTTTAAGATTTGATGTTGAAAGAATATGCATGGGTAAAATTGTTCAGGTTTTTTTTCTGTTTTATTTAATTTACTACAAGAAGTTTACTCTTTCGACAATTTTAAATGGAACTTGAATAGTATTTTTAATAAAATATGCAAATGATTTTGCTCAGATGATAGAAAAACGTAATTTCAGACAGAGGAAGTTATAAAAAAAAGTCTATATTTAATCATATTTCAGAAATGAAATTTGATGCAAAATAGTTTGCAGAACCTTGCAATAAAATAATTATATAACTGCCTATTTTTACCATGTTTTCTAATCGTTAAAAAAAAAATTGGCTTTTCTACTTGATACCATATGCTACACAAAACTAAACTCATCATTTTATTTTAATTTTGGTTTAGTTTTGCATTAAACTTTGATTCCAGTGAGAAAAGTTTTCTGGATTTAATTGAGTTCCACATCTAATGAAACTCTGTGAACTTTTTTGATTAGATAGAACTCGAAAATCACATCTGGACGAGGTTTTCATTCCGAAATATTCAAAACCAATCATTCAAGGTAGACTTACATGAATATCAATATCAAAATGTATTTAACTTGGTCAATTTAAAAAAATTGTTACAATGGTATTACCACCACTTTTGTTAGCTACATCAAACAAAACTCTATGCCATTTCTATAGAGTTGTAAGAAAAATAAAGTATTAAAATATTTTATTACATTTGTGAATGATGTGGTAGAATGTAAAGATTTTGACAAGTTTGACAAATGGAAATTAGAAAACCATGCTTAGACCATAATAATAATTACTAAAAATGGACTTTTCACTGGTTTCATGTATGGAAGAAACAAATATGATGGAATTCTCATGACCGCTAACATGGCAAATGATAGATATCTTAAACCATTGGCAGATTTTCTGCAAGAGCAACTACAAGATTTGTTATTTTGTTAATCACAAATTACATTAATCCCACGTTTAAAAGCTCTTAATTTTAAAACAAACTTCTATAAACATTTTGTTATACCTTTTTTCCACTCTCCAGTTTTCTGGAGAGAAGGATTAGGTAAAAGTTCTCCGACTATGCAGGGTTATCATGGATACACTATACAGAAGATATTGAATTTACCCTGAAAGATAGTATAATAATTTTACCTTCCACTTCGTAAGAATTCTCATATTGCAGGGTAAATTTTACTATTTTTGTGCAGTGTACTATTGTTACTCTCTACAGCAGGGTAATATTTACTGAATTTCTCTCCTTGTTTAATGCCAATCATTCGAATAATTTGGTGGCAGAAAGGAAACTTTTCCACTGATCCAATCAACAATTAATGTCGGTATTAAATGTCAGTAAAAACATTCATTGATACACTGCAAATCGTAGTGTTTTAAAATAACACATGGTGACGTCGTTTTTAACACACTTCAATGTGTAAAACATGTGTTTGAAAATCAAGATTTGCAGTGAAGTACCAAATTTTAAAGCATGTAGAAACCTCTATTGAAAAAATCGATAACTGGTATCAAAAATAATTTCCTATTTACAATTTGATGTAATAAATTTTAGTGTAATTATTGTTAAATTCACCATTCATTTCATTCTAAGCATAAATTAATTATTCACTTACAGTGGCATGTGACTGATTGGCTAGAAATTCCGAGGATAAAGAAGAAATGCTGCAGCAAGTTGACTGAGGCAATTATCCCTTATATGACAGTGCAATAGGGGAATAGGGTAGCTGAGTATGGTCTTAAGAGCGCCAGTGAACGAGGAGGAGCGAAGAAAGCGCGGTAAAAACCGGCTCGTGACGATAAAGGACCCCCTACCGGTTCTATGCGCCAGGTACCTATACTTGAATCCTACCAAAGAAGTCAGCACTTTGCCGCCTCTCTTCGGACTCTTTCTAAAGACTATAGGGACGAGCCGACTGCGCGGCGCCCTTGCAAATACATAATCTGGATGAAATTATAGACGACAAGCTTCAAGGTATAGAAGTATAGGTAGGTAGAAACCAAAGGAAAGACGTAGAAGGAAACGAAAGAAGAAAAGAAGAAGAACCCGTGCGGTGTTGTCAGACAGCAAGGCTCGAGTCTTCTTAAAAAAAAACGACGAGGACGCGAGAGAGCTAAAAGAGAACCGTGAGAGGGGAATTCAAGAAAAGGAATCAGACAAGGAAAGAAACTATATACTGGGGGCAGTACCAGACTATCACGAGCTGAGAACACATATTCGCGATCATTATTCCACTTGCTTTACCAACATGAGGGCAAACTTCAAGGATAAATCTCTTTGCATAAGAAAAAATCAAACCCACACTCTACGTGATGCTGAGAGAAATATTTGGCTATGAAAAGTAAATCCAATTACTTGATGTTTATGCTTCAATTTTTTATTTATTTTTAATAGCTAACTTTTAGATGATTGATAATCTATTAGTTTTTTTAAAATTATTCTAAAACCTATCAAGTTTTAGATGAATTAAAATGATATTTAAATTAACTTTTTACGATATATTTATACAAAATGGATTTTCGAGTTTTTGAGGACTTCATTTCAATCGATACTTGGTTTGCTGTTAAATTTATCCTATTACATGGTGTTTGAAACTTTAAGGGTACTCGGGATATGTGTAGACTTCAATTAAATGTTAAAACAATGGTTGAAAGGAAAGTTTCTGGCGAGAATTTTTGATATTAAAAGCACAGAGAGTCTATTGATTTTCGAGAATCGTTAGAAATTCCAGGGAATCGCTTAGAAATAAATTCCTAAATAAAGATAAAATTAGCTACATTAAAAATATTCCTCTTTGCATCAAAACCTTTCAATAAATTAATGCATGATTGAATTAGGTTCATTATAAAAGGTTGTATAAATTTTTGATAAAATAATATTAAAAGAACTATTCTTTTCGAAAAATATTTCTTGTGATAATTCAACATTACAGAATGTCTTCAAACTTATTTTATCAAAGACTGTTGATATAAATTCGAAAGCTTTTTCAGAGTTTTCTCTATCACTTGGGGAGAATGCTGATAACAATTTTAGAATAATCTTTGAATAGTATGTTAATGATATTTGGTTGATATTTTTTCCGTAGCACAATGTTTATATCTCAATCTTTCGATATTTTAATTAAGAAAATATCATGAACGATTGAAAATAAATTCGGTTTGAAATTATGAATGAATTTACTAGCCAATGAAAAATTAAAAAATTGTCATTGAAAACTTATATACTATACATTATCTACAGAAAAATTCTTACCTTGTGAGTTTCTTCAACCTCCTCTTTACCAAAGTCTCGTCTTGGACTGAATTTGTTGAGATTTCGAGAGATATTTGATTGATAACCATTGTAACCCAAGACTTCTGCCGGAGGTTGATAGTCCCTATAACCCGTTGGAGATGGAGTTGTCATGGGTAGTTGATCTGCTGGTGTTAACATTGATTGTTGATCCTCTCCATCCATTTCAAATGTCTCATCTCCCGTTTCCATCGACTGAAACCCCAGAAACAATTTTGAAAATATATCACCAAACACTACAACTGAATAAAAACATAAATTCGAAATAATGTTTTAGTATTAAAGTATTAACACTAAGGTATAAAAATCGGGGGATTGTGGGAAACGTTTGGGGAACGAAATTTTTTGTTTTTAATTTATGAGGCCTATGTAGACAATGAACAGATCAATGAATTTGTGAGAGTGAAATCTATTTATTGCACTAGTAAAAATCATAATTGGAGCATAATTTAGGCTAAAATTGAAGCAAGTTCCCGTTTTACCCCATTTTAGGAGAGAAATAATTGATTTTTCATATGTTTGACCTGATTCCGCATTTCTAGGCGTTAAGACGAAGAGAATGAGTGGTCAAACTTGAAAATCGGACAACTTTGATTTTGCGACCCCAAAAAATGGCAAGTGGTACCCCTTTCCATTTTTTTAGGCCAAAAAATAAAAGTACTCCGATTTTCAAGTTTGACGACTCATTCTCTTCGTCTCAATGCGTAGAAATGCGGAATCGGGGCACAGCCCGGAAAAACTTACTATAACACTCTCAAACAGGGGTAAAACTGGATACACATTAAAAACCACCATCCCCTTGACTTTAAACCCTAATAACTCATGAATGGACGGTCCAATAATTGTTTTTAGGGACGATTTAAAACCCTCAGAATCTAAGCTAAATATGCATATTCATAAAAAATGTTAAAAAAATTTCATTCACCCTTAAAATCGCCAAAATATTTAAAAAAATTACATATTTTGGGGAGTTTGCCAACTATTTTGGCAATTTTGAGGGTGAAATAAATTTTCTAAACGTGTTTCATGGATATGTATCTTTAGCTTAGATTCTGAAGTTTCTAAGCATCCCTTAAAAATTATTATTAAATGACTCAGATAAGAGTTATAGAGGTCTAAAGTTAAAGTAAAGCCAAAAAATCATCTACTCTTCGACTTCGGATCCTTATAATTTGTGAATAAATTATCAGAAAACGATTTTTAAGGGATGCTTGGAAACTTCAGAATCTAAGCTAAAGATACATATCCATGAAACACGTTTAGAAAATTTATTTCACCCTCAAAATTGCCAAAATAGTTGGCAAACTCCCCAAAATATGTAATTTTTTTAAATATTTTGGCGATTTTAAGGGTGAATGAAATTTTTTTAACATTTTTTATGAATATGCATATTTAGCTTAGATTCTGAGGGTTTTAAATCGTCCCTAAAAACAATTATTGGACCGTCCATTCATGAGTTATTAGGGTTTAAAGTCAAGGGGATGGTGGTTTTTAATGTGTATCCAGTTTTACCCCTTATTAAGGGGGTTGGAATGTATTTTTCCGGGCTGTACCCCGATTCCGCATTCCTGCGCATTGAGACGAAGAGAATGAGCCCTCAATCATCAAAATCGAAGAACTTTTATTTTTTGGCTGAAAAAAATGGAAAGGGGTACTACTTGCCATTTTTTGGGGTCGCAAAATAAAAGTTGTCCGATTTTCAAGTTTGACCACTCATTCTCTTCGTCTTAACGCCTAGAAATGCGGAATCAGGTCAAACATATGAAAAATCAATTATTTCTCTCCTAAAATGGGGTAAAACGGGAACTTGCTTCAATTTTAGCCGAAATTATGCTCTAATTACGATTTTTACTAGTGCAATAAATAGATTTCACTCTCACAAATTCATTGATCTGTTCATTGTCTACATAGGCCTCATAAATTAAAAACAAAAAATTTCGTTCCCCAAACGTTTCCCACAATCCCCCGATTTTTATACCTTAGTGTTAATACTTTAATACTAAAACATTATTCGAATTTATATTTCAAAAATTTATATAAAATATTTAAAAAAATTTAATTTTAAACCAATAAAATGCTAAACGTTTAGGATTTAAAAAACTTTCATTGCGTTCAGTCTTCCACCTGTCTATAACTGTATGTTTCATATTTAAAATTCTAAAGTAGTGTAAATATGTGAGGCAATTGAGTTGATGTAAGAGTCGTTAAAAAGAGTTGATTAAATCCGGAAGTAATATAGCTTGACGCAAAAAGTATCTATACATATAGCAGTACATCGGGAATACAAGATGTATGAGAACTAACTTAAAGACTTAGACACGAAGTTTCTTACTGGTTATAGCATAAGTAAGATCAGTGCACTTGTTTTATTCTTTAACTCTCTTCCTTCTTTCTCCACGGAAGATTATATCGAATTTCTTCAACATCTCCGCACTTTGAGACTTGAAACCTGGTTTTAGAGATCTTCCAGCACCACCGTAAATCATGCATACATGATTATCACACCTAAGACGTTTCGATTTACGGAAAATCTAGGTTTTATGATGAAACATTATGTATATAAGTGTTAACATGTGTAAAATAAATTTTATAACTATGTCATGCGGTTTTATGGAAAATTTATTACTTCCATGTATATTCGTGTTAGATGCATTCAAAGTGTTTAGATAAATAAAATAATACAAATGACTGCTCTATATTTTATTAAAACTTGCTTTTCCGTCTTCTTGAAAGTACTTCCTTTAAAATTTAAATAAAAAAGCAGTTAATTCTTTTTCATCTACTAATTTTTCATTTTGGAGCATTGTTAGATTTATGAATATGTTTGATAGCTAAAGTGAAATTAATTAATGGATCATTCCTAATCTATATTGTCAGTGAAATATTGCTAAGCTGTAGTGATATTCATCACCATTATCAAGGAAGGAGCAATCATGTTCCAATGTCTAATTCAGTTACAAATTATAAAATGATATTAAGTTTTAAAATTTCTTCCTGAACTATTAAAATGTCAACTTTTGGTAAATATCACAATTTCAATGATTGATTAGTTGATTCACTACAGGAATTAATTATAAGATTCAGTTTTTCTTTCAAGTAATTAAAAACAAGAAGTTAATTCCTTTTAATCTTCTCTTACGGGAACCATTTGAATTCATTATTCTGATGAAAACTTCTAGTTATTTATAAATCCAGTTAGATTAGAGTAAAATGAAATTATGTTATCCTTTTTTGAGTAACATTGCAAGTAAATACTAGTAATTGATATTCCGCTTTTTCTTTAATTAAACTCTAGGATAAAAAATGCCACGACAATTCGAAGTCAAAAAATATATAATCCACTGATCAATAAAAAATGAAACTGTAAACTAGTCAATTCTTTGAAGAAATCCATCTGAATAGCTTGAACCTAGAATCAAAGAAATCAATGTAGAGAAAAGTGTATTACAACAAGAAAAGTGTGAAAAGTTATTAAGAATTGAATAGTATGATTTTTTACTTCTCTCTTCTTTTTACAGTGTTCGTGTAGAAAATTAATAAATATGTCTTTTTATCGACTCTATCAAAAACGATATGAGAGAATAAAAAAAACTACTAGCTTTCTTTCATTTCTAGATATATACCATAAACATTTAATTTTCCGTATCTACAGCTGTTGAATGCTTTTATATAAAAAGCAGCAAGTCCATGATATGTGTGAGAAAATGAAAAGAAAAAATTCTATAAAATGTGACTTTAAAACTTGAAAATTAATTTATTCTTTACTTTGATAAATTACACTTTGTTCAAGCAACAATTCTTCACAACATTTGTTATTAATTATTAATGAAAGTAAAAAAATACTGTGATTCTATTTGAACATAAATTCAAGGAATAGAATGAAATCAAATAAATAAACGATTTTTATTTCAATTTCATTATGATATACTCATTGAGATTCTTACTTATTTGTGAACAAAATTAAACCGTTTTACTCATTAATTAAGATTGGAGTATTGTTTAAAAATTAAATTTTGTTTTCTCAAAATAATTCCCTGACATATTTTTACATAACTTGGAAGTTGATCAGTAAATTGAAGATTCTAAATCAGAAGATCTAGTTAGTTGATTTGACAACAAAAGTGCTCAAATGAACTATTTTATGTCTTATCATTATGTTATATATAATGATGTAAAATGACTTAGAAAATAATTTTTTATCCACAATTTTTATTTATGACCAAAACAATATTGGAATCAAACCAATAATTTGAAAATATTTTGATTTGTTTTAATAATTCAGTTCAAATTATGGAATTTATAGTTCTATAGCAATAAAATAATGAAACACTCCACTTGACAAGCAATGCATTACAAAGGTGTCGAGAATCATAACTTAATTGTATGATATTAAATAAATTTATTACTGTTTACTTCGACCACCATACCGTAAATATCCATTGTGATGAATTTTAATGGCCGGAAAAGTGATGGATGCATTGAAATATCTACAGTATACTTGTCTAGAGCAGATACAAATCATGTTGTCCTTATTTCTAGCGTTGATGCCTGTGAACATCAACTGAAATCCTCTGGGAAACGATTGATCTTTATTCCTTGCGGGTGTAGATCGATTGCGAGAAAACTCGTCTGAAGTGTCCAAGACTCAAGTTGGCATTTGGAATACTTGCTTCACCGGTTCTCTGCATTTTAGTATCGCAGCTCAACATAAATCACTACTTCCGCAAAAAGTGGTGACAAAAAAGGTTCAGTTATTTTATGAAAGTACATTTCTTATCGTTATTTTTTAATAAATGCAAGCTGGTAATTATTTCTTGTTCGATTACGAGTGCAATTGAAAAATGAAAAAGTATCGAGCAGAGAGAGAATTGTAGAAGGGGTGGGGCCACCCTTGTATTCTCTATACAGCTTAACGGGGCGGTCTGAAGGGAGAAATGAAATGGAGGGCGGCAGCGTGGCGGATTTGAGCTACTGAAAGTCGTCGACAGGAAAGTCATTCAAGAGTTCCTCAATCTTTCTCTTTCTTCCTCTAGTTTAATCTCTTTCCCCTTCTTGTCATCACTTTTACTTCTTTGACTTCACTTGTTCAGCTAAAATGAAAGTGAAAGTACTTCAAGATTTTCTTCATTAACATTAAAAAAATTCTCTCTTGAGGTTCATTTAATGTCAATCTCTCTGAAACGTAAAGCTGATTGGAATATTTATTAGTTTGTTTTTTTTTTTTTAATATTTATGGTTTGATCTATACTTCTTTTGCTTTTATAAATTGCATTTGATATGCTCTTGTTTTTTCATATTTCAATAAATGTAGATGTAATTATATTCGCATAATGCTACCAAGAATTATAAAAAATAAAAATAATTTCAATTCAATTGACAATATGAAATATGCCATTGATAAATTTCAATTTTTATCTCCCTTGAATAAATTTAATTTAAAAGAGATCTCAAGTTTGTATAGAAGCATCTTTACAAACTGTATTGTAAAATATTAATTTTCTTAAATTATTTATGCCAATAAAGACATAAAATACCAGTATTATTTTTCTATACATCAAAAATTGGTATTGACTGTTTTATAGATCTTGTAATAAATTATTCATTCTTCCTAACATGCACAAATTCATTTAATTAAATTAATTTATTATTGAAAACCAATTCAAAACTTTGGTAAAATTAATTAAGACAATACTAAATTACTTGAACTTCTTATTTGTTTTTCTCAATAATTCATGCTTGAGAAATTGTTTTCTTCTTTCATTGCATCAAACAGTGTTTGAATTAAATTAATAATAAATAAAGAATGAATGTACCGAGTCCATGGATGCAGAAATAATAACACAAGATCTCATTAATAACAATCAGTTTATCGTTAAGTTTCTTCATAAAATTTAAAAACAAAATGAGTTTCTGTTGATTATTTGAGTTTAATCGTGACTAAAAAATAATTATATTAGAATGTTTAGTTATAAATATTGTCGTTAATTTTCATGTATCGATTTTGATTTGCAAGTAGAATTAAAATAATTAATAAATCAAATTTCTAATACATATATCAAAAGTAAGAGAATAATTGTTCAGTCTCAAGATTCTTGATACACAATTTTTAATGATACTTCAATTACTTATTGATTTACTCTTCAAGTTTCTATTATTCTTCAAAGTTAATCCTGCTGAGGTTTTGAAAGAATTCTTCTCATTTTTATCCCAGAAAAGTACCTTAAAAAAATATTATCCTCAGGAAAAAATAGAATCAAGAAGTAAAGAGTGATCTTTTGCTTGTAATTTAAAAATGCCATTATTGACAAATTCATTTCCAACTTGGGATAATTCAGCACGTACTTTCTTAATTAGCTTTTCAGAAGATCAATTATTCCATAAAATCGTTACAATTGAAATGGAGCATTAAAACTAAAATTAAAATATTTGGTGTGAAAATATTTTGGTTCGATGACATATGTAGGTAATTTTTTAAATTTTAGCTAAACAATTAAAAGTAGATAAGAGCAAAGATTGAGATAAAACAAGCTGCTTTATCAACTTTTGAATAAAACATGCCCAATCGAAAGTGTTTTTAATCTTTTATCCATCATTTAGTCGTAACTGCCTATCTATTGGTTAGTTTTCTCTAGTATATCCATTCTAACGGTAGTAAACTCAATTGATCTCAACAGTTGAATTTTATGGATCAACAATTACATGGTCAATGTAGCACAAATCAATCAACTTCACTGACAACCAATAGCATCTCGCTAATCAATTTATAGACAATGTGCAATAATAATAAATAACACTTTAGAAAATGGTATTTTGCAAAAAGGTAGAAAGTGATTCACTTTCTTATTTTTTCAACATTTCTTTATCTTTGACAAAAATCTAACTGACTTAATAAAAATTAAATTTTCTACAAAGCAAAGTTTGTAGTCTACAGCTTTCATGCTAGACAGAATGATAGTGATATGATGAAATCGAGAACATAAACATGAAGAAAATTAAAAGGTAACATTTAAATTCCAGCCACTGTTAATATAAAAGTAAAATTCATTTCCGGAAAATTCTTTTTGATATTTTTTAAACTGGAAATTACTCTTCTCAAAGTCAATTCCACTTTGATGCTAGATAATTTTTAGAAGAAGTGATTAACTTGCTACTGGTTAAATAGAATTAAAAAAAAAAGATAAACTATAAAGCATGTGCATAAAATATTATGCACCTAAAAAATTAATAATGGATCAAACAAGCAAAACACGAAGATATTCATGTGTATTTACATATGGATGAAATTATTTATTTATCTATTAATTTATTAATAGCTAGCAAATCTATGTTAAATAAACATTCATTAATATTCATAGACAGTATTACTATGAATGTCTGTAATATAATCTCATACAAATTCATTGTCAAAATTAATTACTTGTTGATTCATTGAATTCGTCCTTAATTATATTTGAATGATCCACTCATTAAGTAACATTTTTAATGGCATATTTTTACATGAATAATAAAATAATATAACCCGAAATTTTATTTAATATTTCTAACCCTTTTTTGAATTGAATCATAACACCTTGATGCTTTAATCAAATTCATTAACCAATTCTCTTCTAATAAATTATTTACCAATTGATAAATTCAGTGATTCATAATGAAGTCAATCATACTGGAAATAACAATATACATTTATTGCCTAATAATTAAAAGTATAAAGAAACAATGTATTCGGCTAATTTTTCCCATGACACATGATCTACATATCTATCCATAACACACAGCAGCACCGATAATAAATGTCAATTGCCAAGCAATGAACGGTATTGAATGGTTCTCATCTGACTCTCGAAAACACTATCACGCTGGCTAGAGAATCGAGTGGAATCTATCGATCATTCTATACACTTGATACTGTACTACAACGAATCGAGTATCACGTTTATGAACATCAGAAACGTTCACAAACACCATCGATATTCCCAGGCCCCGTGGTATCTAGGATTATTGGCATTTCCGGACGACATACGTACACTCGAGGTAAATTCAAAAGGGACAAAGGCTAGCCGAGCCGTGAATATTGAAGAAAAAAGTCGATGCAACGTTGCTACAATGACAAAAAAATCTAAAAAAAAAAAAGTACCAAAGAGAAAGACAACTCCTGCAATGGGGTAACTTGAAGAAATATGTATGCCGCAGTTTGAATACTCCAAGAGTTACAAGTGATCTCTCGTTACCCATTAATTTTGTCCTTCAGTATTTTATTCAGGGTTTTTTTTAAATTTATTTTTAATCCACAAATTTTATTTATCTATTGACGTTTTTTTTTTTTCAAAGCTCAACAGTCATAGCCAATGATTAATAAAAACTTTTTTTTTACAGTATAAAGCATCTATCAGTGCACTTCTGTTCTTCTGACTTAGGCCTAATCGTAAAGAGACATCAATTGGTTTTCTTTGACATATAAAAAAACTGATCGTCATAGCAATAAAAACAATAAGGTTTTTTTAACAATCAATAATACTGGTTGTTATCCAGTTATATTTTTATTCACAACAAACTTTGATTTTTAATTTTATTGATGTGTTTATATATGAATGCAATTCTATCTTTCTCCAATTATTAATGTTAAAGTCATTAGTAGTATTTTTTATTTTAATTTTTTTCCACTTAACACATTTGCATGAATCTGTTGATTATTCTCAATTAAGTGTACGAGAAAAATTAAAAAAAGTGTAAATAACAGTAACGAGATTATTCTGTCAATATTGGTCTTAAACAGCACCACCCAGAATTGTAAATATCAAGTGTATGTAAAAGTAAATGTTATTATTTGTTCTAAGGTATGCCAGATTTGCCAGTAAATAAAGTTATGTGATATTCATTTTGGATGTCCAGTCATGGCTAAGTGTATGCTTCTACAGAACCATTACTGGATGATAACTTCATATCAGTCCCAATACTGGCCCAATGATAGACCTGTTGTGTATTCCTCCTACAATTGTTACTTTATATATTACTGAATATTTTTTGTGAAGTTTCCTTTCGAATCTTTCAACATAATCCATCAGAATACTCGAACAAAGGATTCAATATTTTGCTTTTTAATTTAAATTTAATTTTATTATTAACACGAGGACACATAAATAAATGTGTTAATAGCTGTTATGTGTAATAAAAGTTAGGAAGAAAAAATATAAAAGCTGGATTATGAGATTTATCAAGAGACACTTATATAGATATTTATAAAGACTTACATTCAATGATGCAGACGTAGGGACGATGGTGATCATTCCACTGTTATCGCTACTGCCACCCCTCATGGTTTGTAGTTACTTATTTTTATCGAGAGGGTTCAGTGTATCTGCAACAAAAATCGATATTACATTATGAATCTATAAAAGCTGTGTATATTTGGTTCTTACAAGTGGAAAAAATTTTTTTTTGTTAGCAATTGAATTCTGTAAAAATAATTTTAATTAGATCAATACTAATTAGATCTTACGAATAAAAATTACAAATACAGAAAAATAATTGGCCAATAGACGACACATGGAAAGCGGATTCTATTGTGAAGAAATTATTTGATGAATGAAAACGTTCATATCTTCACTCCTACGATTTCCTTCCTACAAATGGCTTTGAAGTAATTAGAAAAAATAGATATGACAGCTTCCCAATAGATAGATAAAATAATAGATTTGTCTCGCAGTGTTACTATTCATCATAGAATGAAACTAAAATCAATAGCATTGAATGAAAATTTATTATTCTCGCTTTCTTTCCTATATGGTGTTATAAAATAGTAATTAAAATATCTAATTATCAACACTATAATTTGTGATAAAGTAATTAATTCGACATGATATTCAACATGGTTATTGATGCAAATTATATTTTATTTGCTCATTATCATCTATTTGTGTAATTAAATATACCTGAATCCACAAATTTTACTTATTTTAAATCTCCTAGATAAAATCTAGATTTTTTTTTGGAGAAAACTTACGTTTTTATCATGATGTTAGTTACTATTCAAGTCTGTTTTTATTCGCGATTTAAGGTAAACTTAAATTGGATTATAATCTAGGTACAGAGTAAAATTTATCCTGCAAAATGAAAGGAATAGTTTTATCATTTTGTAGGGTAAAATGTTACTATCTTGCAAGGCAAGGTTTTAGTTAACACTCAAAGATATTGGAAAATAACTTCTTGGCAATAAATAGAAAATTTGAGAAGTAAACTTTATTCAACAATTACTATTATCAATTTCAATTCATACTCGTTGATGACAGAAAGAATTTTTTTATCATCAACTATTACCCATGATCATCATTATTCTAGAGAATCAATAATCATCATCAATTATTTAAAAATTATTGTTGAAGACAGATAATGATTACATTGTAAATCTAAAGGTGTTATTTCAACAAAGCTGAACGAGTTAAATATGACGTCATCCATTTGATCAACATTGATGTCACTTTTTTCACGTGTCTAAGTGTGTATATTTAGCTGTGTTAAAAACCTGTCCACAACTTCAAAGCTTGAAAAATAATTTCTAGTTAATCTCCAAAAAAAACCCTTTTATTTTAATATTAAAATGAATTTTTATCATTGGAATATTTATGCAAATCAAGTAAACTAGTTTGAATAAAATATATCATCAAACTCACTTATCTAAGCATCTTACACAATAGATACTTAGCGAGCAAAATTGTTCGTATTTTTTACTCATAATCCATTTCTTTATAAAATCTATATAATACCAACTGTTGATTTGCGAGCATACATAAAACATAATGTTATATCTCATTCGCAAGCACTTTACAAACTATTCTTAAATGATGCATACATCAAGACATCAGTGGCAAAAGGACTAACAAGAGTGAGTGTTACATTGCAGAGAAGCCATGCATCAGGCTATACTCAAGCTTCTCTCTCTCTTCTCTTTGTAAGCGCATGCAGCTCGCCATCAAAGCGCTCTCTATATTTAGCTGAGCCTCAGCCGCCCGCCCACGAACTACCACGTACATCATACAAATGTGTATATAAACGCTGAATAGCTAGTAGTACCAACGATAAATGGAGAACATTCGATATATACCTAATAATGCATATATGTGCATATATATGCAGATTGAGCATCAAGTAAAGCAGTAAAGCATGCTTGACTAACATGTATACTTATGCCTGCACTTATGGATATCTACCTCAGCCTTAGTTGTACTCAGTTGATATTGTTTCAGAAATTATAGTTAAATGTGATTTGTTCATAAATTCAAGCAAAATCCACTTGATCGAACCTTGAGAAATAGACCAGAACTCATTCAATAGAATCATGCAGTATGGAGACTGTATGAAGATTAGGATTCATCATTGAATATAGATTATATGTAAACCTACATATAAGCCTATAACTCGTCAGTATGGAGTGCATAGCTTATTTAAGCTTTGATAGCACACTAAAGGGATAGTTAAATATAGAAGATACTACCACATGCAAAATTTAATCAGTCTATGAGATACTCAACAGATGATACAAACTAGGAACTAATTGTTGATTAGTTTTATCTTTGATGAGGATCGTCATAAATCAATTGCTGTTGAGGAGAATTTGAAAGATGATGATAGAGATACTTTCTTATAGGTGAGTGATATTTTTTAAAACATCCTGGTAAATATTTTCAGTAGAATAGTAACATTTCCATGCTTTTTTGTTTTAGAAATCACTGAAATGCGATTAAAGAGTTAGCATTCATTTTTTAAATATTCTGTTTCAGCAGAAGTTTAAATTCAAATAGAATATGTAGTTCACAGACATACGTACGATTCTGAAAAAAGCAACGAGCCAAAAAGTGGACATGTTATCTTCTGTTCGAGCACACCTCATTGGTTATAAAAATTTTTTTTCTCAATTGGATACTTTATTCATGGAGTATATTTCAATTTCTCAATATCAGTTAGAATTAGTAAAATATCTGGTCTGTACAGAGACTATTTTATTCAATAATTTGCTTCTGATGAAGAAATTTCTGTTGGATGCATATTAATACATTTTCTAATGAGAATAATTATAGGCATTTGAGCAAAGCCAACATTTAGCCGTAAACCCTACACGGAACGAAAGATCGAGTGAAAATTACCCTGCTATGTAATGTAATTATGATGCACCACACAAAAATAGTAAAAGTTACCGTGTACAGTGGATTTTTACCAAGTGAAAGGATTAATTACACTATGTTCCAGGTTAAATTTAACTTTTTTGGTGCAATATACCACGATCAACCTGCACGGTAGAATAATTTGCATTCCATCCTTCTTTCTGTGTACCACAAACTCTATAGCATTCAGTATGTTTTCCAAAAATCAATGCTATTCATTTTTACAAATGAGAAAATAATATTTTCATGCATACGCAAGTCTTTTTTATCAATTGATTTTAGAAGAGATGCATCCATATGGTAATTCATGAATAATATTTGTGTAAAAGCTATACTCTACTTTAGATAATTTTAACAAAATAACAGGACTAATTATTCCTTATATTTTTCTACAAATAGACTAATTTTTAACTGAAATTGGGTTTAATTTCTGTATAATCAAATAATATTGTAATAAAGCCAGATTTAAAATCGACTAATAATTATTTCAACATTCCAAGTGAAGCTTAAATTTGATATAGAATCAACTTGATGCTTGGCAAGCACTACGATAACTTTGAAATGGTTTAAAGGGTCCTTAATACATTCTACCAGAATGTTTGAACCGATCCTTGGAGCAAATTAAGATAAAGTGGCCCAACTTTATGGTATCAAACATTTATGGAGAAATTAATGTAACAGATTTGATGAACCAGGTCAAGGTAGTTGTCTAATAAAACGAAAGTATTAAGAATTTAATAAAATTTTAATAAAACTTTTATGATTATTCTTTGAATTTGTATTTTAAAATTGATCGTTTATTGTTACATAGATATTAAAAAATATAATTTTTTTTTTTTAACTTTATAAAGAATAGTTAGGAACATTTATTATTTAATAGTGATTTTCAATCGTTTTTTTAAAAGAGGGGAACCTTATTTTCTTAACAAAGGTGAAAGGAATTTTTAGCTTTTAAGTGAACATGAGTTTAATTACACAAATACCTGTAATAATTCTGAAGTAATGAAGATAATAAATTTTGCATTACGTACGGTTTGAGCCTGGTTGAAATAAATTGAAATTTAATTGATAAACAAATTTCATTATAATATTCAATATTCTGTTGATGTAAGCTATCATTTAATTTCATAAATGCACATGTGGCTATTGTTTAATGGCATATGCATATGATTAATTAATATTTTAATTATACAATAAAATATTTCAAGCTAATAATAAAAATAAGAAAAAAAAACAAAATTATACAGCTATAAATCAGATGGATATCTATCAAATAATGTTTGAGGTGTTTATAATTTATACACAGAAAAAAATTGTAATAATTTGTATTTAAAGGTCTATTAAACACCACTGTTAGTTAATCTACACTCACATTAAACAAATGTAAAAAAATATTGTAGAAATATATTTATTCCTCTTAAATAAATCCTTTTTTTTCAGTGTGTTTTTGGTGTTATGACTTCAAGAAATTCTTACAGACATGTAGTGGGTTCTTTGTTGGCATAATGAAGTACTCGTTCTGCTGTATATGTAACAATAAACATGCACAGTAATTCTTTTTAATATGAACATGAATGTTTTAAAAGCTATCGATTTGTAGATTTCAATTAAAATAAAACAAAAATTTTGTTCATTTCTTTTCTGAGTTTGTTGAAGAATCTAATACTTCATAACTCTTTGAAATCTATTAGGTATGTGATTTTTTTTTAGTAAAAGGGTAGACAAAATGGTTGGTAGTCTTGCATTCTCAGTGTCACTTGGTTTTGATGGTTCCAGCAGATCTGCATATGATGGATATATCTGGAGCTTAGCGTTGGAATTTCTTCCAAGATGAGTTTAATATTGAGGGGATGGTGTAACATGTCATTAGAAATATATATCATGATGCATCGACTAGGAGTTTCAATGTCTTGAGTTAAAATCTCTGAATAATTCTTGTTTAAATAAGTATCTAATTAATTTTCCATGAAACATACTTCCCCATCTTGTGTATCAACACCAGTGTGTAGGACAGTAACTATTATAGGGCGTCTAAATTTCTCAGCTTTCTTATGAATTTAGTTTATTTTTGTTTTCGCTTTTTAAGTAACTTGGTTCCTAGTTTCCCATGGACAGATTTTCGTTTAGCTTTGATTACTTGATGATCTTGTAGTTGAGATGATGGTTCTTGTTTGATAATAGATTCGTTCACACCTGTCAT